ACAACTTCAACATAGCTACTCACGAGGCTATGGCAGGAGGATAATTTTTGTCCAGAAGTTTGAGGCTGCAGTGGGCTAGAATCATGCCATTGCACTTCAGCCTGTGTGACACAGCAAGAAATCTGTCTCCAAAAATAAGAATAAAAATAAAATAATAGTAACTATTAATATTGGTTGAGCACTTCTATATACCAGTGTCTATATTTGAAGCTTTGAAGACATTAACCCATTTAATCCTCACAATGACCCTGCTAGGTAGACACTTTTTTTTTTCAGAGACAGAGTCTCGCTTTGTCGCCCAGGCTGGAGTGCAGTGGCACCATCTCTGCTCACTGCAACCTCCGCCTCCCAGGTTCAAGCGATTCTCCTGCCTCAGCCTCCCAAGTAGCTGGGATTACAGGCGCCAGCCACCATACCCAGCTAATTTTTTGTATTTTTAGTAGAGACACAGTTTCACCATGTTGGCCAGGCTGGTCTCAAACTCTTGACCTCAGGTGATCTGCCCGCCTTGGCCTCCCAAAGTGCTGGGATTACAGGCGTGAACCACCACGCCTGGCCTTTAACATCCTTTCATTGTAACACTTATCTCATTGTTTTGAAATAGCTTATACTTATTTGTGTCTCTAATAGGCAGTCTAATTCATCTTTATAGCACTAATAGCACTAGCAACCATACAAGTTCTGTACACCTGTTTTTTTTTTTCTTTTAATAAGATGAAGTCAACACTTGCATTTAACCAAACCTTGATTTCCAAGGATTGAGTAATGTGAGATTTCCAGTGCAGCGGTGGGGGAGGCTTGGAGTCTGAGCAGAGGCTTTGGAGTCCCTCCAATCACACATCATCTTTGCCCTTGCACTAAATAGTATCACTATCCTCCCAATTGCTTAAGGAAACAACATGGGAGTCACCTTGTTTACTACCTTTCTTCACACCTGCACCTCAGGAAAATATCCTGAAATCTTTTCATTTCCATTTCCATGGCAACCAACCTAGTCTGGGTACCACCATCTACCCTGTGAACTCGCCCAATAACTTTGTATTGTTCTTTAGCTGCTTTTTCTTCCATTTCTGCTCCCTTCCAAGTCATTCTTTATAAAATAGGTTGATTTATAATCTTGAATTGTAATAAAAGAAAAAAATATTGCTTATAGCCATTACTGAAAGAAAAAGAAAAAAATATATGTTGTTTTAAAAAAAACAAACCATTGCCTAGGCACAGTGGCTCATGCCTGTAATCCCAGCACTTTGGGAGGCTGAGGCAGGAGGATCACTTAAGCCCAGGAGTTCAAGACCAGCCTGGGCAACACAGTGAAACCCCATCTCTTTTTTTTTTTTTTTTTTTTTTTGAGGCAGAGTCTCGCTCTGTTGCCTAGGCTGGGGTGCAATGGCAAGATCTCTGCTCACTGCAACCTCCACCTCCCAGGTTCAAGCAATTCTTCTACCTCAGCCTCCTGAGTAGCTGGGATTACAGGGAGGTGCCATCATACCTGGCTTAATTTTTTTGTATTTTTAGTAGAGATGGGTTTTTACCATATTGGCCAGGCTGGTCTTGAACCCCTGAGCTTGTGATCCACCTGCCTTAGCCTCCCAAAGTGCTGGGATTACAGGTGTGAGTCACAGTACCCAGCCAAGAAACCCCATCAAAAATACAAAAATTAGTGGAGTGTGGTGGCGCTTGCCTGTAGTCCCAGCTACTGGAGTGGCTGAGGTGGGAGGATGGCTTAGCGAGCCTGGGGAGGTAGAGGCTGCAGTGAGCCCTGATTGTGCCACTGCAATCCAGCCTGGGTGACACAGTGAGACCGCATCTCAAAACAACAACAACAAAAACCCAAATCCTTCATTATCTTGCCTTTGTACTTAACAAAAAAATCCAAACAACGTAATTAGGTTCCTGCTTAATGCTCCAAACTCAACTTCAAACCCCTACTTAACGTTCTCAAGCCTCAAACAGCCATGCTTCAGCATCAGCCACAGTTCAGCATCCGGGCCTTCACACCCATTATCCTCTGTCTAGAATGTTCTTCCCCCCCCACTGGTTGGCCTGGCCGGCTCCTTCTCGTCTTTTAGGTCTTAGCTCCTAAATCACCTCCTCAGAAAGTCCTTCCCCAACCATTCTGTTTTGTTTTCTGCTCAACACTTATCACTGCCTGCGATTGTCTCATCTGTTTGTTTTATTATTTATGTTCCCCATTAGAAACATAAGCTTTTGTTTGTTTGTTTGAGACAGAGTCCCACTCTGTCGATCAGGCTATAGTGCAGTGGCTGATTTTTTGGCTCACTGCATCCTCCGGCCCTCACCCCCGGGGCCCCCATCACAAGCAATCTTCCTGCCTCAGCCTCCCGAGTAGCTGGGACCACAGGTACACGCCACAATTCCGAGCAATTTTTTTTTTTTTTTTAATTCTGGGTTGGGTGCAGTGGCTCATGCCTGTAATCCCAGCACTTTGGGAGACCGATGTGGGCAGATCCCCTGAGTTCGGGAGTTTGAGACCAGCCTGACCAACATGCGGAAACCCTGTCTCTACTGAAAATACAAAATGAGCCAGGCGTGGTGCTGCATGCCTGTAATCCCAGTTACTCAGGAGGCTGAGGCAGGAGAATGGCTTGAACCCGGGAGGTGGAGGTCGCAGTGAGCCGAAATCGCACCATTGCATTCCAGCCTGGGTGACAAAGGGAAACTCTATCTCAAAAAAANAAAAAAAAAAAAAAAAAAAAAGAATTCTGTAGATAGGGGATCTTACTACTCTGCTCAGGCTGGTCTTGGACTCCTGGCCTCAAAGTGATCTTCCTGCCTCGGCCTCCCAAAGTGCTGGGATTATAGGCATGAGGCACTGTTTGTTTCCTTTTCATTTTTATTTTTTGAGATGGAGTTTCACTCTTGTTGCCCAGGCTGGAGTACAATGGCGCAATATTGGCTCACTGGAACCTCTGCCTCCCAGGTTCAAGCCATTCTCCTGCCTCAGCCTCCCCAGCAGCTGCGATTACAGGCACATGCCACCATGCCCGGCTAATTTTGTATTTTTAGTGGAGATGGGGTTTCTCTATGTTAGTCAGGCTGGTCTCGAACTCCTGACCTCAGGTGATCCACCTGCCTCGGCCTCCCAAAGTGCTGGGATTACAGTGTGAGCCACCATGCCTGGACTGTTTGTTTCCTTTCATACATAATCCTACAGAACATAAGCCTTTCAGTGCAGGGGCTTCTTCTGTTTTATTTACCACTGTATTCCTAACACCAAGAACAGTATCAAATTTTTTTTTTTTGAGATGGAATCTCGCTCTGTAGCCCAGGCTGGAGTGCAGTGGCACGATCTCGGCTCACTGCAACCTCTGCCTCCCTGGTCCCAGTTCAAGCAATTCTCTTACCTCAGCCTCCCAAGTAGCTGGGATTACAGTCATGAGCCACCATGCCCAACTCATTTTTGTATTTTTTAGTAGAGATGGGATTTCACCATGTTGGCCAGTCTGGTCTTGAACTCCTGACCTCGTGATCCGCCCGTCTCGGCCTCCCAAAGTGCTGGGATTACAGGTGTGAGCCACCACACCAGACCTATCAACATTTTTTGAATGTATGAGTCCAACAGTGAAATGGCGAGTCATCTTGGTGTATATAGAAGGTGGCCAACAGAGTTCCAACAGAAATGAGTCCCTATGCTCTATAACTAGTGGGAGGGGTGAGGGGAAGCAGCTGGGATCTATCAGACCCTGTCACCAACTAGTAGGCACACGTGGCAATCACAGTTGGAGAAGAGGCCAAACAGAGGAGGTCTACCAATGACAGCCAGTACTAAACTCAACTGGACGCTGAGGCCAGTTCTGCTTTGGAGTGAACAGTGCAGCCTGCTGGGTGGTCAAGGGAACGTGTACAAACCCACTTTGTTTAAAGGACCACAGAGAGCAGTCAGTTAAACTTTATCCATTTGTTCAGGGATTCCTGTCCTGGAGAAGAGTGGGGAAGAAGTGGTTAGCCAGTCCAGGCTAGCTGATATTTGCAGGCTGTGAGTTCGACTCTTCAATCTCTGCTTCTCTCATCATTGCCTTTTCACCTACCGTTACCCTAAATTCACCTACAGCTCTGCCTTCACAAATTCCAAGCGATTAACTGTTGTATTTAATCTCTGTCCCAAATCTCTCTGCATTATTCTTCCTTTGATTATGAAGTCAGAGGCCGTTTATTTTATTTATTTATTTATTTGAGGAGTTTTGCTCTTGTTGCCCAGGCTGGAGTGCAATGGCACAATTTTGGCTCACTGCAACCTCTGGTTTCTGGGTTCAAGCAATCCCCCTGCCTCAGCCTGCTGAATAGCTGGGATTACAGGCGTACGCCACCAGGCCCGGCTAATTTTTTATATTTAGTAGAGGTGGGGTTTCACCATGTTGGTCAGGCTGATCTTGAACTCCTGACCTCAGGTGTCCACCTGCCTGTCAAAGTGCTGGGATTACAGGCGTGAGCCACGGTGCCCAGCCTCAAGGGTCCAGCCTCAATGGCTCTTAGTTGTCACATTATTTGGTGTGTTTTATTATTTGGTGCAGGTTTTCTGTCTCCTTATCTAGTTTGAACATTGCTGAAGGACACTGGTTTTCAAAGCATTAGGCATCTCCGGATAAAGGCACGAATCTTGGTGTGCAGATAAGCCAGAGATTCTTGCTTTTGGCTAGTAGTTCTACGATGTTCCTGGATGGTCAGTTCAAACTGCAATGATACACAGCTCCAAAAGCGGCTTCTGCCAGTCGGCCTAGGAGCCAAACGCCCCGGAGCTCCACGCTGCCACGCAGGGTGCGGTTTCAGACTTGTAGGGAGTTGTCGTAGTCCCGTTTCGGCTGCACTTTCTACCGCTAGGGTAGAAGTGTCAAGTAAGATGTTGTCGCCCGTGTCATGTTGTGCTGGTGAGAAGCTTCCCTGGCAGGCCGCCAGGGCCAGCTGAGAGCACTGTCGCCGGAGACCCGCGCGCCCGGGAAGGGGCGGGGAGGTGGGCGGAGCCTGGCAACCTCGGGACCACCAATAGGATGCTCAGCCGGCGCTGGCCTGCGCGTGACGCAGCGGAGCTGGGAGGCTGGGGGCGTAGGGGCCGGGCTGTCCAGCGCTTTATCTTTCTCTGCCGCCCGGTCGGCGACGTTGCGGGCCCTGGGCGCCGGAGAGCTTCCCGGAGCCGACCTTCCTGCTGGCTGCTCTGTGATCGCTTCCTGGCTCTGCCTTCTTGGCCGAAGTCCCCGCTGCTGGGCGCGGGCCTGAGGTAACAGTGGTGCTCCTGTGCCGCTCCTTGCTTCCCGCCTAGGTCCCACCGGCCTCAGCCCGCGGGGAAGGGAGAAGCGGTGGCGGCGGCAGCTCTGGCCCGGCCTTGTCCTGCGGGGAGGGTGAGACTCGGCGAGTGCCAGAGAGTTGGGGAGGAGAGGGCGGGAAAGTTACCATCAGGCGCCCGGGTCACGGGCAGCCTTTTAAACCCTGCACGCTGGTTTGGTGTTCCCCAAATCGCGTGGCATCTCTCAAGTCGGTAGTAAAGAAAGTTAGGAATTAGAAGACGTTTTATTCTTTAAAAAACGAAACCAAAAATGCACTCAGGAAGTCAGCTTTTCAATGATTTAGGGAAAATGTGTGAAGGGAAAGATGGCATTAGTAAGACATGAAAATCTGCATGAGCACCAGAACCTTTAATCAAGCTAATGTTTTATTTTAAAATATTAGGATGTATGTAAGTTTCTGTTTTCCCTAAGTCCTAATGGCCATGTAGTTTAAATAATATGTATATTGTAAGGTTATTTGTAAGTGAGAAACAACTATTTAAACTTTATTCTCTGTATTTATGTATAGGTTAAATTCGTTGGTCACTTTTTTTTTTGAGATGGAGTCTAGCTCTGTTACCAGGCTGGAGTGCAATGGTGCCATCTTGGCTCACTGCAACCTCCGCCTCCTGGGTTCAAGCGATTCTCCTGCCTCAGCCTCCTGAATAACTGGTATTACAGGCATGTGCCACCACGCCCAGCTAATTTTTGTATTTTTGGTAGAGACAAGGTTTCATCGTTTTGGACCGGGATGGTCTCGAACTCCTGACCTCAAGTGATCCACCCGCCTCAGCCTCCCAAAGTGCTGGTATTACAGGTGTGAGCCACCGCGCCCGGCCCGTTAGTCACTTTTTAATATTTAAGTGGCGGCCACCTGTTTATTTATTTTTTTCCCAGAAAACTTCGTTTCCTCTTCCTTGAAGTAGAATTCAATTTGAAACCTTTTTTTTTTTTTTTTGGCTTTTATTTTTTTAAGTAATTTTTGGCTTTTTAAAAGTTGGACAGTGTCGGTTGTCTGGGTGTGAGAATAGGTTTTGGAAGGAGCTCTGTGGCATTGATTTATCGTTTAGAAATGCACGTGTTTTAGTGAATCACATGCTTAGAACCCATCTGAGGCTTCACACTCTTTTATGACAAAGATCGGAGTACTGAGTGAGCCCACTCATTCTGTCTCTGGTTTATTTGGCCCACTTTCCTTCTTCCTCTCCAGGTTCATGCCACACTGACTTTATTTTTGTCACTGGAAGGCTTCATTCTCTTTCCTATCTCCTGGCCTTTAGGAGTTTCCTCCACTTCTAATGCTGTATTCTCTCCCTCCCTCCAACTCTTACACCTGCCGCAGTTATCAGCCCACATATCACTTCCTCTGGAAACCACCCCATCCCCATTAAGCCCTCCTTGAACTCTGGTTTTTTTTTGTTTGTTTTGACACGGAGTCTCCGTCTGTCACCCAGGCTGGAGTGCAGTGGCTCAGATCCCGGCTCAATGCAACCTCCCCCTCCCAGGTTCAAGCGATTCTCCTGCCTCAGCCTCCTGAGTAGCTGGGATTACAGGCATGCGCCACCACGCCCGGCTAATTTTTGTATTTTTAGAAGAGGTGGGGTTTCACCGTGTTGCTCAGGCTGCTCTCCAACTCCTGACCTCGTGATCCGCCTGCCTTAGCCTCCCAAAGTGCTGGGATTACAGGCGTGAGCCGCCCCGCCCAGCAAAAGGATGGCTGCTGCTTTTGGCTTTTATCTGTGCTTCTTTTATCATTTTCTTTCTTTTTTTTGAGACAGGGTTTCACAGTGTTGGCCAGGATGGTCTCAGTCTCTTGACTTTGTGATCCCTCTGCCTTGGCCTCCCAAAGTGTTGAGATTACAGGCGTGAGCCACCACACCTGGCTCAATCTGCACCCTTAGACTCTTTATGCTCCTTAGCAGAAGTTAATCATTAATTGTAATGAAGTAGGTGCATTAATTGTTTCCTTTGCTAGTGCATTTCATGAAGGCTAGGCCAGCCTATATTATTTCTTAATTCTCAGGGTCTGGCCCAGCCTTTGGCCCAATGAAAGAATGAGTAAGTTGGTGGACAGAGGAAAGAACTTTTGAATGAGAAATACAGTGATCCCCACTTAGCTGCTTTCTGTAGTTTCAGCTACCTGAGGCCCGAAACAGTACAATAAGACATTTCAACAGAGACCATGTTCAAGTAAATTTTAATCTATCGTTGTTAGTCTCTTACTGTGCATAACTTTTTTGAAACTTTTTTTTTTTTTTTTTT